AAGGCGATCGGTGCTTCTCTGCCGTCTGGTAGTGTGTGGCTAAGTATTGCGCCTATTCCGAAGGGTGAAGCGTCGCAGGTGACAGTTAGAGGTAGTGTGTTACTGTATTGAATCAATACAGATTTTGATGTGATTAAGTCTTTAATTTTTTGGAATGCTGTTTCCTCTTGGTGGCCCCATTTCGAGATGGCTTTTTTATCGAGGAGTCTATGCTACTGTTGCTTTTTGTGGCAGAAAGACATGATAAAAATTAATGAGTCCCAAAAATGCTTGTAAATCCGTTTTGTTTTTGGGTCTGGGAGCTTCCTTTATCGCTCGTATTTTTTATTTTTATTTTGTAGGGTGGATTCCTGCTTCATCAATAAGGTATCCCAGGAACTCGACCTGGTTTGTGGCAAGTTGGCATTTTTCTGAGTCCAGCTTCTCTAAATTTTGCCAAAACTGCCCTTAATCGGTCTTTTAGTTGTTTTTTGTTTTCGGCTGATATTAGTACATCATCGAAGTAGGGAACCACCCCTTTTAATCCTTGGAGGAGGCGTTCCATTAGGCTCTGGAAGACGCCAGGGGCCACGCTGACACCGAATTGTAATCTATTGCATTTAAAGGCTCCTCTATGCGTTACGATGGTTTGCGTCTCTGCTGTCTCAGGATCAACGGGTAATTGTTGATATGCCTGTGCGAGGTTGAGCTTCGCAAAAATCCTTCCTCTCCCCAATGAATGCAACAGGTGTTGTACTACCAGAACGGGATATGTGCTCTGTTACAATGCATGGTTCAGGGTGGCCTTATAGTCACCACAGATGCGCACGGATCCATCAGGTTTTATAGGAATCACAATTGGGGTTTTCCATCTGGCGTGGTCGGTTGGCTCTAGTACCCCCTGAGCTAGATTAGCTTGTTTAGTTGCTCGTCAATTTTTGGTCTTAGTGCAAATGGTACCCGTCTGGCTTTAAGCCTGATGGGGGCTACGTTCGAGTTTAAGCTAAATGATATAGGGGTCCCACGGTACTTGCCTAAGGTCCCGTCGAATACGTCATGGAATTCCTCCATCAGATCTTTCTCCCAGTCTGTCATGGTGACACTGTTGATCCCTATCACTTTGTTTCCGAGTGGTTCGAACCATTCTAACCCGAGCAGGCTGGGGCGATCTCTGTCAACGATGGTTAATGGAAGAATCTCAGTGTGTTTCTTAAATTTTACTTTGAAATGTCCCAGTCCCACTACTGGTATCTTGTTACCCTGGTAGTCCTTGATGATCAGGCTTTGCTCTTCGAGTTCTCTACGTTTTATGTCTGGTATCAAACTTTTTATTGTGTTCCATGATACCATTGATAAATACAAACCGGAGTCTACTTCCATTTCACATGGCTCGCCTTCTATCAGGACGTTGATTCGAACCTTCTTGGTGTTTGTTGTTCTGGCCGTCCCAATAGTGATTGTCTGATGCGTTTCTTCCTTTTCATTGAGCCGTTGATTTCTATAATCTCGGCTCCAGCGACTTCCGGTTGGCCTTTCTTTGCTTTCAGGGGGGGGGGGGTTCTGCCGTGTCTCTTTGGACTATAGCTCTTTTTGTTTCGGCAGACCCTCGCAATCTGCCCCCGTTTTTCACAATGCCGGCATGTGGCATCCAAGAATTGGCATTCAAATCACGGGTGGTTTCCGCCGCAACCCGCACACTGAAATTCAGGTTTTCTCTCCCATTTCTCTCTCCGGTTTCTTTCTGAATGGAGTCTGTTTACCTCCTCGTCTTCATCTTTGGAATCGGTTGAGGATTCGATATCCTCATGGTGAGAGGTTGTGGCAGCGTGCTTTTGGGCTCCCTCTGTTTTCTTCTCTTTATTCAGGCTCGGACTGTTCGTTGTATTCATCTGCTTCATTTTTGCTGCAGACTTCTTTGCGGCTTCAGCAGCAGTTGCTTCAGCAATGGCTTCGTTTGCAGTGATGTTGGGTCGGTTTAGCAGTTTGCTCTGTAGGTTTGCATCTCTTAGTCCAAGGACTATGTGATCCCTCATGGCTTCATCCATGTTGAGGAACTCGCATGCCCCCCCAATGTCTCTTAATGCTACTACGAAGTCTCCAATACTCTCACGTTCTAGTTGGTCGCGCTTGTAGAATTCGTGTCTTCTAATGAGATTGGATACGACTGGTGCGTAATGGTTTCTCAGCATCCGATTTAGGTCTGGCCAGGCCATCTGTAATGCCTTGGCCATTTTGAAGATAGTCGGGCCGCAATGCGTTAGGAATACGGCTCTCTTTCTCTGGTCAGTGATTCCTTGCAGTTCGTTGCTTTCTAAGAACATCAGGAATCTGTCAATGTATGACTCCCAGTCTTCTTCGGCTGGGTTGAACGGTGCGGGTAGCGAATTGTTGCCGGCCATCTCGTTGGTCCTTCAGCTATCGTTGCCACGTGCTTACGGCCTGTGTCTCTTCAATCCCACCTTCGTCGCCAGTGTTCTATCGCCAAGACAAAGCAGACTCGGATACCGGAGTTAAAATCAGCTCTTTATTAGCAACCAGTAACTTCAACTGAAGTCGAGCCGCAGCAGCCCTTTTTATAGCGGCTGCTCGTGGCTCACAACCAATGGCATGTGTTTAAACTTCCCGCTGCTTATGCGGCCAATCGGAACTAATTGTTCTTAACCAATCATTATGCTGTATTAACCAATAGGAATGTAGTATTAGAAGTCTGTATTTGAATACACTACATTGGTGTAGGCAACAAGATCATCTTGGATATTAGTTTACCCACACGTATTTCCCTTGGCCTCTGCCAGGACTCATTCCCAGGTTATTTTTGAAATTCTTTTAATTTAGATAAGAAACAGATAAGCTTCAAAACAAAGTGCTACCATCCTTTAGCTCCACATAGGAACCAAAGGCATTTTTATAGAATAAAAATGATGGACAGCTAAAACCATGGCTGAGATAAGCTGCATCTAATGTGGCAGCACCTTGTTTTCTAATGTTTATGCCCTTTTGATAGCCAATATTCGTGACTGTGTGGCAGCATTTCCTGCATTCTTGCAGCACTCCCATTAACTTAAAAAAAGTGAAATAAGGAAATCCATAGTTTTATTCATTTTATCCATTCACAATGACTTACATTTTTAATGAACTAAGAATGAAAGAAAATGATTAAAAAAACATCGATGTCTTTGGCAATTTATGGTCTCCTCAGGAACTGAATGCTCTAGCTCAGAGGTCTCTAACCTTGGTAACTTTAAGACTTGTGGACTTCAACTCCCAGAATTCCCAAATCTGGCTGAGGAATTCTGGGAGTTAAAGTCCACAAGTCTTAAAGTTACCAAGGTTGGAGACCCCTGCTCTAGCTGCTTCTCCATTGGGACACACAAGCCAGGGATTAGCATTAGACAAAGGAGGTTTTATCAAAAGGATGGGGATCAGTGGTGGGATTCAATTTTTTTTACTACCGGTTCTGTGGGTGTGGCTTGGTGGGAATGGCAGGGGAAGCATATGTAAAATCTCCAGTCAGAGATGGTATTTGCCGGTTCTCCGAACGACTCAAAATTTCCGCTACCGGTTCTCCAGAACTGGTCAGAACCTGCTGAATACCACCTTTGATGGGGATTACAGGTAGTTCTTGGGTAGTTCTACCTTGATTACAGGTAGTTCTGTAATGGAGCCTACCAGTCATGACTGTAGGTTGTAATGGTTGTAAAACATTATCGATATGATTTTGTGATTTTTGGGTGTGTGTGGTGGTCATTGTGTGAACACAGTGGTCATAAGGGCATACCTATTGTGGTGCAGTTTTGCTGGAAATCTTAAAATGAAGTCACCATGACTGTGGGACACTGCAAGCAGCCCTAAATGTGGCCATGTTGTTGAATGACCAAAGTCACATGACCACAAAGGGGTGGCGACCTTCGGAACTTCAGATCTGCCTCATAAGTCCCCTTTTTCAGATTGGTTGTAACTTCGAATGGTTGCTAAGCAACTGGTTATAAGTCAAGGACTATTAGCTTTCCAGTTATTTCTAAACTGCCGTTCTCAATGCTTTTCACCATTGTTCCTACTGGCTGAGCTGCAGTCAATCAGATTGCTTTTCCACAACTCTTAATCAGTTTCACAAGTTCTGTAAGATAATTGAAGAAGGCTTAGCTTCTACAGCTCTTTCAGGGCATAATTGTCTCATTTGTGTTATTTGTTTTTACTTTAGTTGATATGCTGCCTCCTTATCATGCATGTACAAATATTTCTAAGGATTGTTGGATTCTTTAATGTGAGATTTTATCATATGCTTTTAGATTTTCAAATACACAAATTTTATTGCCAACCTTGAAACATTCCTGTAATTTTATATGAATTTTGCTAAAATCTATGGCTGCATATAAATGTTTGAAATACAAAAATTCCAATGTTCATCTATCCTGGTACCTGCTCAATATTTTGGAGCAAACCTCCCATTATTACTAGTCCACTTGGTCACCTATCAGTTGACAATGCTAAGAATAAAATCTAGAAGGCGTCCAGTTTGAAGGAATCTGGCTATTAAATCACTGTCATCTACCTGTTTAATAGATATCAAACAGCCACAGATTTTGGTTCTTTTCCAACCATCATGCTTTTATTTTGATAGATTTTGAGACTTTTAAAAATGTGGAACAATGATGTGCTCTTTGCCTTCTTCCCAGATGGTTTTGGAAAGTCCTTGTTGCAACCCAGCACCACTTTTGATATAACCCACTTCGTATGTTTTCAGATGTCCACCTTATGTTCTGTATGAGTTCTGGTGGTGCAGTGGTTAGAATGCAGTACTGCAGACTATTTCTGCTAACTACCAGCTGCTTGCAATTTGGCACTTCGAATCTCACCAGGCTCAAGGTTAACTCAGCTTTCCATCCTTCCGAGGTTGGTAAAATGGGGATCCAGATTGTTGGGGGACTCTGTAAGCTATTCAGAGAGGGCTCTGAAGCATTGTGAAGCAGTATATAAGTCTATGTGCTATGGCTATTCACAGCTTAAAAACCAGTTCTGTATTTTCCTCCTCTCCCTTTTTTCCTGCATCATTATAATTCTTTTAAGTTTTCAGATTGCTTCACTTTCAAAGGAAGAGAAGTTCACATGGGCCACATCAACTAAATTATTATGTTTTATTTCACGATGATGTTACCATCACGATGATGTTAAAAATGAAGCTAAAACATACATTGTTTAATATTGTGATTTCCACCATATAGACAAAAGGCAGATTAACACAATCGCTCCAGCAAGGTTAATTTGGTTAGGACTTACGGTGATCAGCATAATTTGGTTAGGACTTATGCTGATTGGTCTGAAAGAGCTGCGAATAAGCTAAGCAACAAATAGTAAAGCTGGCTTTCAAGAGGGCTCTGGCAGATGGAGAGTCTGGGAATAACCTTGCAGTAACCCTGGAGAGTCTGAGAAAACCAAGTGAGTAAAAAATGTACAGAAGTGTAAGAATTTCCTAAGTGTGCCTGAAATAGTTAGTCTCAGAGCAAGTTTCCCTTGTAGATTAGTTCTCCAATTAACAGAACGCAGTCAGGAGACCATCTACCTACAGACTATTGAATCCTCTGCAGTCTTTGAACCCATCCGGAACAATGGGATCTATGTCCTATTATTGCACAGCTATGGCAGTTCCCAACCATAGTTTAGTGACAGACATTTGGTGGTACATCCTTCCTGTCACCAATTATCAGGACCTCAAAGATCCAAGATACCATACTAAGCTGGACAGATCAATGGTCCTATTTGATTTAGGGAAATTTTGTATGCTCTTGCCCTGATAATACTTTAGAGTCAAAATTCTAGATAAGCATCACTTCTACAAAGGATAGAAGTGGGAATACCCGTACCCACAATAACTATGTAACAAGGGAACTGGCCTGATGTATGGAAAGATAATTTAAGATATACAGTATACTGGAAACAAGCATCATATAATAAAAAGGAGAGCCCATAAAAACCCTCCCAAGAATGAAAGATTCTAAAAACAATAGGTTTCCAAACTCAATCCATCAGTGTCAAACTTTCCTCTTGATAACTAACATCTCTCCACTCTAATGGCTTCCTTTTGGTTGAGAGCAAGACCACAAAAATAGCATATCTGTTAGCTTAGTTGGCAGGTAGCTTATAGGGAGGTAAAAGAGTTTGGCATCCCAACCAGCTGAGTAGCGGAAGCGAGGATGCACAGCAGTCAATGCATGTTCCATGCAGTTGGTAACCAGATGAAGTTTAGGACTGCAGTAGGCTTCCATTTTAGAGGTTTCTTCAATCACTACAGAAAGAGAGATGGGGAAAAAATGAAATAAGAATACACTTGTTCTTCACAAAATATAAATTAGAACCATCCCAAGATCTCATTTAACAATCCTGTATACAAATGGCCCCGATTGTACCTATTCTTTCCAACTACATCTTTTGCTGATTACAAATTTAGGTGCCTGAAATTAATATCCTGAGAAGTGTGGATTTTGTTTATAAAATAGTCAATGTGGTAAGAATAATAAAAAAACAGATCTGCCAACATCTAGAAACAAGTAAAGTAATAACTAGCAGTCAGCACGGGTTTGTTAAAAAAGATCATGCCAAACCAATCTTATTTCATTCTTCAACACAGTGATTAAATTAGTAGACCAGCAAAATACTGGTATATATTTAGATTTCAGCAAGGCATTCGATAAAGTAGACCACAACCTACTTCTTAGTAAGCTAGAAAAAAGTGGAATAGATAGTGTTATGAACTAATAAAAACTATTTAATAAAAACTTGTCAACCTTACAAGAAAATCAGGCTCGTAATCCTGCACCTTTGATTGGCCTATGAATAGCGAGCAGGGATTGGTCCTTACGGAGCAGCCTGATTGGCTATTAGTTGAACATCTCTCATTGGGTACAATTTAAACGTGGGAACGCAATTCATTGGTTAACGGGTCAACAGCCAGCTCTATAAAAGAGCTGCTGCTGCCCAGGGTTTTTGCTCTGTTCTTATTCATTAATAAAGAGTTGAAGTTCACTAGTTCTCTGCCTCGTCTCCGTTCCTTGCGCCCATGCTCAGTATATAACACTGGCGACGAGGGTGGGATGCGGAGACAACAGAGCTGACTGAACACTACAGAGCGCCAAACAGAGCACGTGGCTGAAGGCGCACCAACAACGGCAATATGGCCAGCAGTGCTATACCACCCGCTCCATTTGACCCGGCAAACGAAGACTGGGACTCGTATATGGATCGGTTCCAGATGTTTCTGGAGACCAATAACTTAAAGGACGCTACGACCGGCAAGAAGCGAGCAATATTCCTGACCCATTGTGGGCCTGCCGTATTTAAGATGGCGAAATCACTTGCAAAACCGGCTGAGGTGAAAACGATGGACTGGGACACCCTCGGCCCACTATGCACCCGCAGTGCCAACACTTGTCCGTAGGCATGAGTTTTACCAGAGGGACCAACGGAAAAGCGAAAGTCTTGCAGACTTCATCGCTGACCTCCGGAACTTGGGTGGCCTCTGTGGGTTTTCCAACCTAGAAGAAGCCTTGCGAGACCGCATAGTTCTGGGATTAGTTGACCAGACGGTGCAAAGCAAGATCATGGCCAAAGGGAACATCGATCTTGCCGATGCCATTGCAGACGCTACCGCAGCAGAAGCAACCAGGAAGTCAGCTGCTTGAATGCGCCTCACCAACGCACCGCTCCGTCAACTCGCGAATGATACCTCGCCTCGCCCCGAGAGGCACTCAACAACGGCGCACCATGAGGACCTGGAATCCCCATCAGAAAGTGACGAGGAAGAGGTCAACCGACTCCGGTCTGAACGAGACCAACAAAACCAACGACTCCCACGACAATGCGCGGGTTGTGGGGCAAACCACTCATGATCCGATTGCAAATTCCTCGACGCACTCTGCCGTTCCTGTGGAAAAAGAGGCCACATCGCAAAGGTCTGTAGAAGCAAGCGAGGATCCAGCTCAAAGCGCAGGGAGAATAACTGCAGCCAGTCTTCAGGATATCCTCCTGCGAATCGAAATCGCCAGAAGCACCAATGGAACTACCACTCCTACAGAAACAAAGCACCTGCCACTCCAACAAGACGAGAAGAGGCACACCAAACCATTACCATCGGCCACGCTACATCCTTAGATGCAAGAAAGATCCGAGTGAAGGTCGCCATTGAGAACCAACCTTGCGTGATGGAAGTCGACTCGGGGTCGTCTCTCTCGATGGTTTCCTGGAAGACCCTCAAACAACTAATTCCGGCCATCCGTCGTCAGGACCTCAGCCCCCAAAGGATCATACTCAAAGATTACCAGGGCAACAGAATCCCGGTCGTCGGTTCCAGCCAAGTCCAAGTCTCCTTCAAAAATTGTATCGCATCTCTACCACATAGATGAGGAAATAGAAGGGGAACTTACCAAATTTGCAGATGATACTAAGCTGGCAGGAATAGCTAACACCCAAGAAGATAGGCTCAAGATCCAGATGGATCTTGACAGACTAGAACACTGGGCCATATCTAATAAAATATCTAATAATCCTTTCAATATCAAAGTCCAATATCAAAGTCCAGTATGAGGCTGAATAGCAGTAACTGTGAGAAGGATCTTGGAGTCTTAGTGGACAACCAGCTAAATATGAGCCAGCAGTGTGCAGCAGCAGCCAAAAAAGCTAATGCAATCCTAAGTTGTATTAACAGAGGGATACAGTCAAGATCAAGGGAAGTACTAATACCACTCTATAAAGCCTTAGTGAGACCACACCTAGAGTACTGCACCCAGTTTTGGTCACCACATTATAAAAATGATGTTGAAGCTCTAGAAAAAGTACAGAAAAGAGCAACCAGGATGATTAGGGGACTGGAGACTAAAACATACAACGAACAGTTGCAGGAACTGGGCTTGGCTAGTCTAGTAAAGAGAAGGACCAGGGGAGACATGATAGCAGTCTTCCAATATTTGAGGGGCTGCCACAGGGAGGAAGGGGTCAAACTATTTTCTCAAGCTCCTGTAGGCCAGACAAGGAATAATGGATGGAAACTGAACAAGGAGAAATTCAACCTGGAAATAAGGAGAAACTTTCTGACAGTGAGAACAATCAACCAATGGAACAGTTTGCCCTCGGAAGTTGTGGGAACATCATCACTTGAGACTTTCAAGAAGAGATTGGACTGCCATTTGTCAGAAATGGTGTAGGATCTCCCGCTTGGGTGGGGGGTTGGACTAGATGACTTACAAGGTCCCTTCCAACTCTGATTATCTGTATCTGAATGCATTCAGACAGAAATAATGCTCAGGGTAACAGCATAATTTGAATATGTAGAAAATTTTCTGTAGGTATGTGACTCACTGCACCAAATGCATTGGCGCCAAGAAGATTGATCTCTTTCATCCAATTAACAGGGGAGGTTCTAAGTAACTCCCACCCAGGCATACATCATGCCCACCACAGCTTAGCAATCAGTGTGTTCCCAACCCTCGAGAGTTCCCAAAGAAAGCTAGGATACTTCAGAAAACTAGGATAGTTCATGTAAGTTAGTTATCAGAAAACAAAAATCAAACATTCTAAAACTGGGTGTAATTTTTGACACAAAGGGCAGAATCTAGACACAGAGGGCAAGCAGATACATTTATACCAGCAAAACATTTTACAAGGAACTGATCTGATTCAGCTTCATATCTCCTTATATGAGTCATATAATTATTATGTCCTCTTTCTTATAATTTTTCCCTAATAGTATGGACACTGAGGAGAACATATTTATTTTGGAATCCAATTGAACAAAGTTAATGTTTGCACCCATTGTTCTGATTATTACAATATTTGATTCAAGTTTCTGGCCCTTATAATTGCAAGGATAGGCATGGCATTCTTCAGGTGGTTTCCAACAGGATTTTTGAAGCCCACATATACAGATAGTCCTCAACTTCCATCCATTCGTTTAGTGACTGTTCAAAGTGACAGTGGCATTGAAAGGGGTGATTTATAACCTCTTTTCACTTTTGATGGCTGCTGCAGCATTTGCATTATCAAAATTTAGGCCCTTGGCAACTGGCATGTATTTATGGCAGTTGCACTGTCTCGGTGTGATGTGATCCCCATGGTGATGCAGTGGTTAGAATATAGTATTGCAGGCTACTTCTGCTGACTGCTGGCTGCCAGCAGTTCAGCAGTTTGATCCTGACTGGCTCAAGGTTGACTCAGCCTTCCATCCTTCCGAGGTGGGTAAAATAAGGAGCCAGATTGTTGGGGGCAATAGGATGACTCTGTAAACCGCTTAGAGGGGGCTGTAAAGCACTGTGAAGCGGTACATAAGTCTAAGTGCTATCGCCATGAATAATCTTCCAAGCCAACTTCTGAAAAGCAATGTCAGTGAGGGGAAGCCTGATTCACTTAACGACCTCTTGACTCACTTAACAATTATAGTGATTCGCTTAACAACTGTGGCAAAAGGTTGTAAAATGGGGCAAAACTCACTCAACACATGCTCCACTTAGCCACCTAAATTTTGGTCCATACACTGACTACCTGTACATAAACCCACATACTATTGTATAGAACAGGTAATGAGTAGTGCTAAGGGCACCCTCTTGTTCTTCTACTCAGCTCCCTCGCCTCGTGTGTGAGTAGAGGAAAGGATGGTGAGACAGAATTTCTACCCATTCTGATTATTTGATAGAGAATATCATATCATTTAATAGAATCATATTTTATTTCCTACTTGAAGAAATACGTTTTTTAAATTTCTTTGATAGGCTTACTTGAATTAAAGCCCCCTTTAAGGGGGAAGCAAACTTAACATTCAGAGTTAACAACCACAGGGTCAGACTGCCCATCTGTTAAGAAACACTGCCAAACTCTGCCGTTGAACTAGAAGCCCTGGACTCTATAGTGTGTGACATCAGGTTTTGAAGAAAAAAAGGGGGAATCCCACTCACTTGAATTATAATAACTCTCTCCATACACTTCCTTGGTTTCTTCTGGAAGGTGCTCCCAGATTTTCCTGAAGTTTTCTTGAAAGGTTTTCATGTTGGTGATTGCAGTTCGGAAGTAACCTGGCTCTATTATGCAGACTTTCACTCCAAAGGGGGAGAGTTCAAGTCTGGGGAAAAAAAATAATGTTATCTACCACAGGTCCAGGAAGATAATTATGGCTGTGTCATCTTGAAAAATGCGGGAGAAAGTGGGGTGGGTGGGAAATGAGAAAGTATAAATTTGGTGTTCTGTATGAAAAAGTATTATAAAACATATTAATCTCCCAAAAGGAAGCAGGGGAAATGTTTACGGCTCTTACTTCTGTAAACTGTGCTTCTATAGCACAGAATATATATTTTTTTAAAGTTTTTTATTTTTTACACAAACTTAAACAAAACATAAACATAAAACCATCTTTCAGTTACATACAGTGTGTCGGTTGGTACAAATCTCTTCTGCATAATCTCTACAGTCATTTCCTTCTAATTTAGATTAATCTTCATGTTACAAATCAAGCTATATATATTATCATTATTGTTTATTAAACTGTTTAATATTCTATCATTCTATATGAGCGATTCACCATTTTTACTTAACCTACTTTATAATATTCATTTTATCATCACCAATCCATTCAATAGTAGTCTATTCTTACATTACTTTATCTCTCGAATTCTATTATAGTTATATTATAGAGTATTGTAAAATATTTCATTTCCCTGTTTTTTTAATCTAACCATTGATAAAATAAGTCCCATATCTTATAAAATTGTTTATCTTCTTGCTCTCTAATTTCAAATGTCAATTTACTCATTTCTGAGCACTCCATGATTTTCTTAATAACTTCATCTTCCATTGGAATTTTCTCATTTTTCCAGTTTTTAGCAAATACAATTCTAACCACTGTTAATACATTTACAATCAAATATAACAATTCTCTACTGTATATTTCAGGTATGATGCCCAATAAAAATATATCTGGTTTTAAATCTGTGTGTTTTTTTGTCATTTTTTTCCAACCGTGTGTGGATTTTAGTCCAATATCTTTTATCCTCTGCACACGTCCACCACATATGGTAGTATGATTCAGGTATCTGATGACACTTCCAACATTTCTCCGACTTGTTCTTAAACAAGCACAGAATATAATTCTTTTTACTTGAAAATAAAAAGTCTGGGCTGTAGAACTACAGGTAATCCTCAACTAACAACAGTTCATTTAGTGACTGTTCAAAGTTACAACAGCACTAAAAAAAAAATGACTTATGACCACTTTTGACAATTAAGACTTTTGAAGCATTCCTGTGATCATGTGATCAAAATTCAGATGCTTGACAACTGGTTCATACTTATGACCGTTAATTACTGTGTCCCAAGGTCATGTGATCCCTTTTTGCAACAAAGCCAGATTCACTTAACAGCCAGGTTATTAATTTATGAACTGCAGTGATTCACTTAAAAACGGTGGCAGGAAATGTTATAAAATGGGGCAAAACTCACTGAATGTCTCACTGAACAACGGAAATCTGGGGCTCAATTGTGGTCTTAAGTCGAGGACTACCTGTATGTGGTGTTACATGAATGGAAAGTATAAAAAAGGTTGTTTGGTGAAATGATGAAACAAAAGTGACTGTGAATGAGGGATGGGGAGAGAAAAATGGGAGACAAGAGGAAAAAAATGTAACAATATGTTTTGAAGAAAAAAAGGGGGGGTGTTTACAAAGAATATAATATGGGGGTTAGGAATAGCCCGGGATAAGAG